GCTGGGGAGCCTGGCTGGCGGGCCCTGCCGGATTTGGGTGCTGGGGTTAGGACGCGCTCGGCGCTCTGGCCCTCCTCGTTCGGTGGCGGCTGCCCTGGCGGATGTTTGTCCCGTGTTGAAATGCGTGGCCTGGAATATCAACACAAATCCACCTTCATCCCTGCCCTGTGCTCGTACTTGGCTCGGTCGTGATGGGGGTGTGGGCTGCTGTGAGGTTGGCAGAGACGCGCTGGGGGGATAGATTGGGTTTCAGCGATATTAAAAAAAGCTATCGGATGCCTTACAAGCTTCTGAAAGTACAATGGTGTTCTCCTGCCTTGGTGTGGTGTTTTGTTTTGTTCCCCCCTCCCCCTTTGCCACAGGTACAACTAGGGCCAGGTGTGATCGTGTAATTTTTTGCATTCCCCAAAGGAAGATAACTCAGCAGTGCAAGAACGGTTGAGCTTTCTACCTGTGATTTGGACACAGTCATGATGGTTTAAATGCGAGATCCAGACTGGTTAAGGGTTATGTTATGACCTTGCAGTGTTTCTGCATTGCCGTCTTCAGAAAGGTTTTGGTCTGCACCTGGTGAACTGTAGTAAAGATCTTATTGCTGTAGCAAAGCTCTTGCCTCCTCTTGCTCTGGGCGCTCTCTCTGAGCATCCCTGAGCGCAGAAGATGATGCAGCCTGGTGTAAGGGCTGCTTTCCTCAAGCAGCCCCTATGGGATGGAGCAAAAGCCTGCAACCTTTCAGGGGCTTGGCTGTCCCGAGATCCTTGTGCGATCTTGGAGCACGCTGGAAATATCACTGCCGATAACGTATTTTGATAATCTTGCAGAATTTAACACTTGCTGTTGGGCCGGAGCTGTTGCTTGCTCTGCTCTGCCGCAAACCCGTGGCAGGGCACCTTTCTGTGCCTGGGTTTAGGGGGAGGTGAGGCGGCGCTGATTGCGTCGAATGACGCAAACACCCTTGGGTGGAAGAGCCGTGGGATGGGTGCTGTCAGGAGGCGTTTTATGGGGGACAGCCCGAGTTCTCCAGCGCTCTCACTGCTGATTTAGGAGGGAGCACTTGGCTTGAGCTCTGCTCTTGACTTGGACAGAACAGTGTTAACCAGCTTCCTAGGGCTTTGATCTCATTGTTCATTAAAATGGGTTTGGGTTGTTCTTTCCTTTGTAAAATACTTATCTGGATGTTTTGTCTGTGCACATCTTTTAAGTTTGGTATGAACTCAAAGTGGACCTGCTGCATTACTTGCTGTACGTGCATCTTCTCCCCAGGTGTGTGGGGCTGGTCCTTGATGGGCTGAAAAGAGCTGGAAAGAGAGAAAGTTCTCTCTTTTTCAGTGCAAGAACTTCAGGGCTGCCTATTGCACTTGTGTTTTTTTTCTATGGGATGTAAGCTAGTGTTGTCTCCCTGTGGCATCCTCAGCAGCAGCCTTCCCTCTGCCTTACTTCTCCAGCGTGTTAATTTGTTAGGAAATAGTAACACTGGGAAATGTGGTGGGACTGAAGCAGGAGCGGGACGCCCCCGAACAGCGGCTCGCGTGGCTGAGGAGCGCCGTTTCGGTCGCCCTGCTGAGACCTGCCGAAGCGCTGGGCTGCTCCTGGCCGTTTGGGGAGTGGGCTCTGGGGTCCCGGGACCGCTTTGGAAACGAGCGGCTCTGCGCGCTGACGGGTCCCTTCTCTTGCCCGCGTGGGCTCTGCCCCGATCGCCTGGCTGCCTCTGTGCAGCCGATCCCTCCCCTGCCTTCGCCGCGCCGAAAAAAAACGTGCGCCGCCAGCGACGGACTCCCGCGGCGCGTGAGCCTCTGGGGTAAGCGGCCGCCGCTCCTCTCCCTGCGTTTCCGTGCAGGGAAGAGCCTCGCTCCCGTGGGAGGGAGAGGCTCTGCGTGCCTCCCGAGGGCTTCCTCCGCCCTGCCGTGCTTCTCGGGGATCTCCCCAGCCCGCCAGGAGAGGGGACGCTGTTGTTGAACCTTTAGCACTGTTACGTCTGTGAGCAAAACCCGGTTGCAACACCCGGCTTTGTTTGCTGAATTTTGTGTGCCGTTGCTTAGCGGGCAGCGGCAGTTTGGTGTGAACTTGTCCGCTGCCAGCAGCGGAGCCCCCCGTCCCCGGGTTCTGTCCGCCGTTACGCGCTGGCAGTAGCCGTAAGTTGAAATCCTCTTCCCCAAGTGAGCTGGGCTCTCCGTGCCTGGGATGTGCAGAGGGAGTTGCGGATGCTGTACTCGCCCAGGGCCGAGTTGCTTGTTTTCTGTTTGTGTATCTTAATTGTAAACAAAGCACTCCTTGCCGTTGCGCTGCGTTTGGTAACGCTCTGCCGGGGGAAAGCCAGCAGCGAGAGCGCCGGGTCCGAATTCGGAGCCAGGAATGGGGAACCTCAGGGTTTGCATCCGTCGTTCTCCCAGGCTTAGTTCAGCCATAAGCAAATTGCTTAGCGGTTTTTGCTGTCAAAGGGCTTTAAGTGCATCAGAGACTCTCCTGTTGTCTTTGGCTTCTGGGGTTTTTATTTATTTTATTCCCTGTATACAATGATGCAAATAACACTTGCCTTGGAGCAACGTACTTTGATTCCCAAGCACTTGCAATTGCCAGAGCTGTATTTCGTGTGCGCGCAGCCCCCCGGGCTGTGCGGCAGTGCCCAACACTTACGTTTTGGTTTGGTTTTACTCGGGAATCCGAGCTAGCTGCTTTGCTGTGGCAGGACCTCGTTTGCAATAGGCTCGAAGCGGGTCCTTCCCCTTCTGACCTTACGCGTTAGTTGTGATGCTCGTGCGTGGTCTCCTCAGGTGTCAGGGAAGCTGATGGGAAGACGCTTTCCGAAATGGACCGTGCGTGAATGACCCAGCCTGTTGGACTGATGAACGGGAGGAGCAGGAGCAAGGGAGGAGACTTCCCCTTCTGCCCCCTGCTCTGCCCGCTCTCACGCGCCAGAACGAAGGGGGCGAAGCTTTGTAACGCGTCGCCAGCGACTTCTCAGGGGAAAGTGTCAGGGTTTGAGGGTACTCGAGCCGATTTGGAGAGCTGGCAAGGGGAGAAGGTCTGGGAGGCCAGGGAATTCTTGGCGAGCCGTGCAGCTCTTTCACTGAATGGGCTGGAGCTTTGGGCTGGAGCAGCCGCAGCAACAGTTGCTCCCGCTCGCGGTTCCCGGGAGCCTGAGCAAACAGCCAGGCCGTGACATTTCACCCGTTGCTTCCCTTCCTCTCCCCGCCTCCCCCCGAATAAGTCCCCTTTGGAAACATCCTCGCCCCCAGTGGCAGCAGCACGGCGGAGAGGAGCAACGACTGGCGAAGCGGGATGTGCAGCCTTGTGTGAGGAGGGAGCTTTAAAGGTGAGACTTAAGGCAGGGAAATAGTTTGGAGACAGTGAGTTGCAGGTGAAACAACTGAGCAGGTTTTAAATTAGTTGGGAGGTCTGGGAGTTGCGGATGCTGGGTCGGATCCAACGCAGTTGCGCTAAGCTACTACGGAGGGATCCGTGTCCTAGCTCGGGCTCGGCAGGAGAGCGCTGTGCCCGCGGAAGCGTTGTCTGGTGCTTGTGGCCTGTTCGCGTCTAGTCTCCCGTTCCTGCTCGAACGCTGTGGGTTTGGCTGTGTCGTTCCCATTCTCCTCTTGCTCGGTCTCCTGTCTTCGGCTCCCGCTTGGCTCGTGAAGGCAAGCGTGGATGTTGCCAGAAAGGCTGAAATCCTGTGCGCGGATGAACCTAGCTAGTGGGCAGAGCGTTCCCGGAGCGGTCGTCCCCGGAACGAGAGGAGCTGTAAGTTTTTGTCCCGATGTTCCCCGCTCCGCTGCTATTGCGTGTCGTGCTGTATTAGAGCCAGCGGCAGGTGCAGGGGAGTGGGTCGGGGAGGCTGGCAGGACCGAGCCCAAGGTGACTTTGGGAAACCTGGAGGAGGTGGCACTGTGCTAGATATCCGGGTGTCCAGCGAATTAAGATGCCAGAAGGTCTGTGGGCCTGCGGTGCTGCTGGTGTTTACCTTCCCACGCCGTTTCTTGGCTACGCACCGTGCGTTTTGTCCTTGTGTCAACTCAGGAAGCGCCCTTTAACGGGTTTGAGCAGGATCGTCGAGTCCCAGCGCAGCCCCGCTGCTCCGTTTTCCCACCCTCTCTGCAGCTTTGCAGAAAGCCACAAGGTGAAAGTCGGGCTGCCCCGAGATAGGGCGCTCCGCGTCTCGCAGCCAGCGGCCGCGCGCCTGCCCGGGAGCTGTGCTGCGGGCAGCTGCTGAACGAGACGGGGCGGTGGGCCCTCCTCAGCCCGTTTTAGGAGATGGCTTCCTGCTTAGGAAGTTTGCCGCAGGCTTTAACGCGCATTCTTGGGGAGATAATCCCTTCCGGCCGCGGTCTTGTACGCGGGGGCCGCCGCAGCCAGGACGGGGGCACGTTCCCTGTCCTCAGCTCCCTTTGGCCAACCACGTCCTGGCCGCGCCGCGCGCAGAGTCCGTTTTCCCTTGCCCCTCTCTGTGGCCCTGCTTGCGGGCTGGCTCTGCCCCCAGGAGTTAATCCTGTCAGGTGAGTCCGATTAATTTTTCTCTAGCTGTTTGTTTTGTAAGGGATCTCGCCTGTGGTGTGCATGTGTTTTCCCCACCAGCGTCTTTGATCTGAGCATGTGCAACTGGTGCTTCGTATCTCGCAAGGCTTGTTATCATTTGTGATGGTAGCGCATAGTGTTGTGGTGAGATAAGGGTGAAAGGGACATTTAAAATAGAGGTGAAAGCATCTAGGTGGTTCTGAGCAGATAGCCAGAGTCCAGGGGCTCCACATCCATCCTTTCATCTCCAGGTGCATTTGTAGACGTGCTGCCTGGTTATTTTTGACTTGTGTTTATGGAAACCAGCTCTGCTGCAGTGGGGGAGTTTTTAATCGTCGTGTGGGGGTGGCTTCGTGCCGAAGCTGGCCACCTCCCCTTGCCAGCGTGAAAGCCGCTGCTTTGCTGCGGGCTCATGCAGATTACTCGACACAAACGTGTGCAGACTTGGTGCGTACCTGCGTGTCCAGGTGAGGCCCTGCATAAGTCCTCCCACCTGTGCTGTCGCTGCAGAAGATCTCTTGGGCAGGAGAGCATCTCTCGGGATACATCCCTGCCGTGCAAGAAGAGCAGGGGGGAGAGGGGGGTCTGGCAGTGCCGGCATGAATCTAGGCATCCCGCGCTCTCCTACCATCCGGTGAAGCTGTTCTTGGCACAGAGCTGATTGGAAAGCGCTTACCGAGTTTGAAGCAGCAGCTCCATCTTGCCACTGAATGGATGGAAGGGCAGGCAGAAGCTGGTGAAACCCTGGAGGAGCTTTGCTGGCTGCACCTGCGCTGCTGTCAGACCTTGCAAGCGCTTCTCTTCTCCCACAGGTTGCGTCTTCTTGCACCACTCCTCCTGCAGCTGGTAGCACTAGCCAGTTCCCAGGTCCTGCCGCGGAAAGGAGGCAAGAACCTGTGGCACCATCATGAACGAAGTCTCGGTCATCAAGGAGGGCTGGCTGCACAAGAGAGGTAAGGATAAATCCCCCAGTTTATAAGAGCTAGGACGCTGCTTCCCTGAGGCCTGGCCAGCTTACCAGCGAACTGGGAAGCCAGCTTTGCCTCGGTGGTGGCACCCCTCCAAGCCCAGGTCACCGCGGGGAATCCTGTACTGCAGCTGCTACTGGAAAAGGAGAGCTCCGGTTTCAAGTTACCGGTGATTTAACCTTTCACAAGCGCAAGTGCAGGGGGCTCCCCTCTCCCCCAGGCGAATCCATCCCTTCCCTCCCCCAAATAGGGCATGGGGAAGGCAACTCAAACAGGTTCGGATGCCATGGATAGACAGGAAAGGGGCAGCCTGCGGCACCACATGGCTTCCCTTCCAGGCTTTGTGAGCTGGCTCATGTGCCAGAGCCTCGCTGCGTGGTATCCAGGGCCTGATCCAAAGCCTGGGAAGCCTTTCCTTTGGCTGAAGTGGTGTTTGGAGAAAGCTTTCATCTGCTCCTGGCTCAGCCTGGCAGCTCAGTACAAGCAGCATCTCTGCTGTGTTGGGTGTTTGGCAAGGTCTGGTCCATGCCGTGAGCAAATATTCCAGCAGCGTTGTTTTTTGCCTTAGGTGTGGGAACCCAAAAGACAATCTCCAAGTGTTTCTGCAAACCTTCTAGCCTGCCCAGAAGTGTGGCTTGTAACACAGCCTGCAAAGCAGTGGCTGGTGAGACAGCAAAAGCAGCAGCCACGTTTCGCGCGAGCTGTGGCACGCTGCCCTGCATCCCTGATGAGACCCCCAGATAGACCTTTTATTTTTAGTGTTCACAGAATATTGGGAGCGCCGAGGCATTGTAGCAGCTGCGTGCGTGTGGGATTTTATTTTTAGAAATGTTGAAGGTGGCTCTATTTTTCCTTTCCTTGCTGAGGGGGTTTTGCAGAAGGAGCTGGCAGGGGGAGCAGGTCTAAAAGCTGTCTTCCTCCAGCTGGCTTTCTCCAGCCTGCTTCCCCAGCAGCTTAGCCAGATAGACCCATGTCCATGTTCTCCATGCCCCAGGGGGCTAGCAGATTCCTCCTTCCTCAGACAAATATAGCTAGCAGCAGGAGGGGGAGGCGAGGGGGTGAAGCTAGGCCTCTGCCCAATGCTATTTCTGTACCTGCAGCGCTGTGTTGAGTTGTCAGCAGCCTTGCCTTGCTGCAGCACTCTACGGAGGTCGGTTTGGGATGACTTTGGAGCTTTCAGAGAAGGTCTGAGGCAGTGCAAAGCTGTGCTCTGTCCCTTATTGCAAGTCCACAGCTACTAAGGAAAGGGACCCAGAGTGTGAATCCTGGGATCTGCCCTTCTTGAGGCTAAGTTAACACTTAAGCCTGCCTTTGCTTCCTTTTCATGCCTTTCTTAAATAACAGTAGTTATCTGCTTTATGGGGAGTTTCACAGGCTGGAAATAGCAGAAGGATTTCCATTATTTCCAAATAGCATAAAGGAAAATGGTCACCTAATTCCCCATCAGGGGTCTCACAGCAATGGCACCACCTGTACACTCGTGGGGAGGGTGCTTGTACAGTGCCCAAAGTCCCCTGCAACACCCCCCTCCCTCCCTCTGCCAGCTCCTCAGGGGTGGATGCCTGGTGGGCTGCAGGACTTGGAGAACACGTGGGCTCTTTTTTAAATGTTTTTTCAAGTCGTTCAGAGAGAATCCAGGCTCGCTGGATTGCACCTGAGCAGTGCTGGGCGTGAGCAAGGGGGAGAACATGTGGCCATGGTTGTCCCTGAATCAGCCCGTGGCTGAGTGGCAAAGGCAGAGAGAGTAGAGCAGCAGTTCTCACCTTTCTGGAGCAATGCCTCTGTCCACCGGCAATGGGAAGCGTTTCAGTGCGGCCAGCGTACTGACTGGGGCAGGCGGTCACCTCGGCCCACCTCTCCTCTCTTGCAGGAGAATACATTAAAACGTGGCGCCCCAGGTATTTTCTGCTGAAAAGCGATGGTTCCTTCATCGGCTACAAGGAGAGGCCTGAGACGTCTGATCACAGCTTGCCACCACTGAACAACTTCTCGGTAGCAGGTATGTCGGCCCATCCGGTGCAGCCGTGTTTAGCGCTCTCAATGCATGTGAACGAGCAGTGACAAGCCGGCATTGAACAGAGACTTCTGAAAGTTCAGAAGGGTTGGCTGGGTGGTGTTTTCAGCTCTGATGTCCTTAGGGGGCCTGCTCCCTGGGGTTGGGGTGAGGGCATGGTTTCTTTGGCCCTAAACCAACCCCTTCCCTCTTTACCCTCCCAGAGTGCCAGCTGATGAAGACTGAGCGGCCCCGGCCCAACACTTTTGTCATCCGATGCTTGCAGTGGACAACAGTCATCGAAAGGACCTTTCATGTGGACTCTCCTGAAGAGCGGTAGGCACGGCTCTGCCTGTGGGTGGGTAGGAAGCAGAGCTCCTTTCCCGCATGATTGTGAGCCTCAGGCTCCCATGCTTCTGCAGTGAGGCTCCCTCTCCCCCTACCCATGCAGGGAGTAGTTGGAATGGCTCCTTCCTTTGGGAACAAGGTGTCCTTGCCCTGGGAAGAAGGCATTGTGTGCCACCTAGCTTTTTCCTTTCTTTTTTTTTAAAAAAGAGAGAACGGTTTCTATTGTTAATTACAAAATCCATGGAAGTGACAAGTAGCGTATTGTGTTGGCTGTAGCCCAGGGAGGGCTCGAGGCCCTGAAAGCTGTTGACTGTGAATCCATCTACCTGCTGCAGAAGGTTGAAGGGAGAGTGCAGTTTTCCTTGTAGTGGCGTGATCCTCGGCACCTCCCTATCCCGTGCCCTCCCTGAGCTAATGTCTGAGCTACAACAAGCAAAGTGCAGCAGTGCCTTACTGAGTCTGTTTTCTCCTTAGAGAAGAGTGGATGCGAGCCATTCAGACTGTAGCAAACAGCTTAAAGAATCAGGAGCCGGAAGTAGACACGATGGATTATAAGTGTGGTTCCCCTAATGACAGCACGGGAGCTGAAGAGATGGAAGTGGCTGTGAGCAAAACACGTGCAAAAGCAGTAAGGCACCCAGAGCATGGTCCTTTTTGGGGGAGGGGTGGTGGGATGCCTAGAGTGGGTGCTTTGCCCCTGAGCCAGCCTGGAAAAATGAACAAACCTGCACCTTGGGGTTCCTGAAGTACAGCTGTACAGAGGCCCCAGGGAGGCCTTGTCTGGAACAACCCTGCTAATCAAGGGCCCTCGTGCAAGGAAGGTGAGCTGAAATTCCACAGGCTGGAGGGTGGAAAGCGTGGGTGGGTGACGTCATCTGCAGCAGTCCTCCTTTACACTCCTGCTGTCCTGAATATGCTCTTGGCACAAAGTCTTCTCCTGCTGTAGCCAGCTGTGGAGTAGGTTGTCACATTGTTGGCACAGGAGCAAGCAAGAACCTGTGCGATTACTCCATACTGGCAGGTGATAGATTGTGACTGAATGACAAGGGAGAGACGACTACTGCGCGGTGCTGATGTGCGTCTCCAGCACCAAGGGGCTGAGGTGCCACTTCCGTTCGCTTTTGGTCTGGGCCTGGTGCTGTCTTTCCAATGGGACAAACCTCAGCCCAATGGTGCTCATTTCTAACTCTGTTACTGTGATAATTGGGGGTGAAATAGATCTAAGTTTTCAACTGAGCAGCTTGTGAGAGCTTTCCTGTCTCAGATCCCATTTGCCCACACTGTGAACTCTCATCTCCATCTTGTCTTTCTCCACAGACTATGAATGATTTTGATTACCTGAAGCTCCTGGGAAAAGGCACTTTTGGCAAAGTCATCTTAGTGCGGGAAAAGGCCACTGGTCGCTATTACGCGATGAAGATCCTACGGAAAGAGGTCATCATTGCGAAAGTATGTATCGAGCAAAGGCTGGGGGTGGGGGAGAGCTTGGAGTTGGTGGGGCTTAGGGGATCGCTTTCAAAACATGTTTCCTAAGATGCCAAATGATTGCCAGCTCATAATTGGTTATAAAAGTCAGGGGATTCCAAGAACTAGTCTTATTTCAAAACTGCAAGCATGTGTTGTAATGTACAGTTAGGTAACACTGCATGTTCTTTTTGTTTAT